TTTCTTCAGAGTTTGCTGGGTAGATGTGTGTGTAAGATTTGATTGTTTTCTTTGTTACAGGCAGCTTCATTATCCATCCAATGTTTGCAATGGATTATGAGGTGCTGTAGCAAATTATGGAGGCAGAATTCTAATGTTTCAGCTGGAAATGGAATACATAGATCTTGTTCTATTGCAACAATGTGAAATGAGCTTTTGGGGTGGAAGATTTGGAAAACAACTAATTAGATGCTGTTTCAGGCTTTCCTGCTGGGATGACTATTGCATGTCCTGAAGTAAGGTCAGCACCCTGCAAGTTGTCTCAGACTGGGGCATGGGGTGCTCCTTGTCATGTTGGGGCTCCTCAAGCTGTTGATGTTGTGTTCCAAGGAGTTTGTCCCACCAGTGATCAGATTTGTCTGAACTGACACATGGCCAGAGTCAATCCACATTAAACATGTGACATTGGAAAACTCATGGGATAATAGTCTTTTGTTATGGCCACCCCATGGCCGTTGGTGTGGGATTGTTCTGTTCACCTCCCCTGTTGGCAGTGATCAGAACCCAGCAGGGACATGGAGTGACTCCTCTGGTTTGCCATGGAGTGTTCAGAAGAGTGGGAGTCACTATGTCTGAGAGGGAATTTGGACTAAATATGAAGAAATCTTTCAGAGATAGCATTGAAACAGATTCATGTAGTGAGAAAGGTTGGGGGGGTTATCTTTTATGGTGCTGTTGAAACCAGATCCCCTCAGAATACCATCAAGTGCAGACCTTTGCTTTTTCTGAATCCTGCAAAAATCACAAGTAGCTTGTGACTTTAAGTCTCCTGACTACAGTCTTGTTCCTCCTGCTTTCCTCATGTGGGTCTATGGTAGTCCAGGGATCCTCAGATATCCACAGGAAAGGAATCTGCACATAGTCTAGAAGAGTAAATATCAACAAAAGTGTGTGTGTGTGTGACTGAGGATGGGGAGGGAATCCCAATTTACCTTTATTGCTACATAAAAGAAGCTTAGAAAAAGGTTGTATGTTATTAGACAGTGTTTGGTCACCACCAGGAGGAATGAGAAAAGCAAGTCCAGGGGTAAACCTGTGCCAGTGATGATCTGTGCTCTGGTGTGCTGGGAGTGAGAATTTTTGATCACTTCCAAGCTTGTGAAAGGAAATCTGGGAGTGGGAGATTGAATGAAAGAGGGACATTTTTATGGACTTGCTCTAAGTTCTCTGTATAAATGTAGTGATTTGAGGATTCAAACTCAACATCCTCCATGTTTGAGCTATTTGAACTATCAACAGGTAAAAGCTAGATGGGCATAGGTGCATATGGAGTAGTAAGGGTGCAAAAAGGCTTTTAGTCACTCATATTGGTGCAGTGAGGCCACCTCTAGCCTGTATAGGCCCTGAGCACAGGCTGGGCTTCCATTGTGATTAAATGGTTAATTCTTAATTTATAGAATTGGGTTGGAAGGGACCTCAAAGCCCCCCTGCCATGAGGGTTTGGAACTCATGCTCTTGGCCCTAATTAACCAGTAAAACCCAGTGTAGTTAGGAGGGGGTGGCAGATTTTAAATCACTAGGCTGCTTTTAGTAAGGCAGCTCAAGGTAAAAGCTAAAATCTTTTCCTTTAGACAAAGCCAAAGTCAGCACAACACTGAATTTTCTTTCCAGATTGAGAATGCATCTGTGAAAGTATCTGTGTTGTGACAGCCATCAATAGGGAATGTTTTGGGGAGAGCTCCAAGAAAATCTACTCCCAAAATTTAAGAAATACCCCATTCTGCTCTTTTCAGTTTAACAAAGGACTTCAAATTCTTTGAGCATATGTATTCATGTATTTATATATATCTGTATGTATGTATTAATGTATATTCTCTCTATATTCAAATGTGGATATACCATACATATACATATATAGACAGAAAGACTAGCATAGGGAGAAAGAAAATAATGCAGGTATATCATAATACATTATGTATAGAGGATAAAAATCATAGAATCATAGAATCATGGAATTTAAGGGTTGGATTGGACCTTACAGACCATCTAGTCCCAACCCCCTGCCCTGGGCAGGGACACCTCCTCACTAGATCAGGTTGCTCAAGGCTCATCCAGCCTGGCCTGGAACACCACCAGGGTTGGGGCAGCCACAGCCTCCCTGGGCAACCTGTGCCAGTGTCTCACCACCCTCACAGGAAAAACGTATTTTCTCACATCCAACCTAGACTTTCCCTCCTTCAGTTTGAACCCATTACCCCTTGTCCTGTCACTGCAGCTCCTAACACAGAGTCCCTCTCTGGCTCCTTGTAGCCCCTTCAGAAATTGAAAAGTTGCTCTGAGGTCTCCACACAACCTTCTCTTCTCCAGGCTGAACAGCCCCAACTCCCTCAGCCTGTCCTCATAGGGGAGATGCTCCAGTGCTCTTAGCAACTTTGTGGCCTCCTCTGGACTTGTTCCAACAGTTCCATGTCCTTGTTATGTTGAGGACACCAGAGCTGTGTGCAGTATTCCAGGTGGGTCTCACGAGAGCAGAGCAGAGGGGAAGAATCACCACGTTTGACCTGCTGCCCGATCTCCTTTGGGTGCAGGCCAGGATTTGATGTTGGTTCATAATGTACATTATGCACATATATTTAAATTTCTATACCATCTGCTAATGATGAATTTCTTCATTACATAAATGTCTTGGCCCTTTTGAACACTTCTGATTTCTTAATCACATGTCTAACTTGAGGCTGGAAACTTCTCATCCTACCCTTTCTCCTTGATGAAGAGAAGAGAAATAAAGAAACAGCTCATAAGGAATTTTGGGTTTGATTTCAACAAGAATGGGTTAAAAAAATAAAATTAAGTCTGATCTTGAGATATAGTAAATTATTATTATCTTCAGGTGTTGTAAATTATGGTATTGCAATTGATTTTAAGGCAATAATGATGGTTCACATCAAGCAAAGATTTAACTGGCCTGGAAATTCTAGGGAAAAGTTATACTAAATGCTGAGTTTTCTTTCATCTATGAAACTTTAGCACGAATTGCTGAGTCACTATTGCAAGTTACACAGTGCTCAGACTTGGCTGTAATAGGAAATGAGTTGTATGAGCCAGATTTCACCAAGAGGTACGAAACCAATTGTGTCTACTCATCCACCCATCTGGCTTTCCCTATTGACATTTCCAAAGGACAGGAATTTATATACTGAAAGGCTAAAATCGATGCATGAACGCCACTTTTGTTTTCCGCTGTTAAGTTGCCTTTAACTCAAAAATACCAAATCAAAATCAGTTCAGATTTCTCCTTGACTGTGTCACTTCTGACCTTCACTTCCCTCTCCCCATGAAAAAATAAACAATAATTGTATTTCTGTATTTAAGGTAGTTGTGTTGCTTGGGTAGTTATATTAACTTTGCAGATTCTTGGATTTAATGGCTGTGAAAATGTGATGCGATATTAATAAGATTGATTTTCTTCCATAAAAATCTTTGTTTTGATAACTTAGCCTTTCACTATACTGTACAGTCAAAGTTTTGGTGAGCTCTCAAGCTGTTCTTCCCATCCAGACTTTCTTCTTACATTTTCATCTTTCATCTTAAATGTTCTTCTAGGTAAAACAGTATTAAGTGAACATTTCTTTTATTGTTAACATAGCTGCATTTACTTGGTTATTGCAGTTAAAATCAGTATGGAATATTGAAAAAGCTTCCCCTCAAATATTTGCTCAGTTTTGAGTGGCCATAGAAAATGGACACAAAACCTGAGTTCTGAGCAAGAACAAGAAGTAAAGCCAAGAAATACTGCAAGATCTATGCTAAAATCATGAACTAGTACCCCTGTTTTCTAGTGTGAAGGAGAGAGACAGTGGGGAACAAGTTTAATTTCATTTTAATGACATATTGAAAGTGTTTCCCTTGATTTGCATTACCAGTACTTGGGGCTGAGCATCCTGGAGGTATTAATCTCGAGAATAAATAGCCAAGTGGTTCAAAAATGGGTGAATTCCTCCAGCTGCTTTAAGCAGAGCTGTCTGCAGACTCCTGGAATGACGTTCACTGCAGGACTGGGATACAACAGTTACATAAGTGAGTTTAACAAACAAGTTGATAGAGAAGAGAAAGTCAGTGGTATGACGAGGTTAGTGGAGCGGATGTGTGTCTGCACTTCCTTCGCCCAGGCAGTTTAGGGTTATCTTTGCAATGAGGGCAGGAATTTTCCCAGGGCTGCACTTTTAACATGTAGGTGGATGAAGCGAAATTTAGCAAAGTCAGCTGGTTTGGCCACGTGGAGGCCAAATGCAGCTGAACGAAAAGCTGAGGACTGGGAATAAAGGGAGGCAAAGAGCCAAGGATTGAGGATGAAAGGCAACAACAGAGCCTGGAGAGAAGTCAGGGAAGCAGCACAGTGGCAGAGAGATTGAACATAAATGATTCAAAGGGGAAGAGCAGTATGTGTTGAAAGGGATGAGGCAGGAAACAAGCAAAAAGGATGGAAATTAGCCTTAGGAATTATTATCTCTTCCTCTGATGTGGGAAGTGTGATAGGAACAGGGTCTTAATCCTTACTTTAAAATATTTTAAGATGCCTTTGTTTTAGAGTAAACACAGAATCATAGAATCATTTAGGTTGGAAAAGACCTCTAAGTTCTACCTGCAGGGTAGCGCAGAAGAGTCTCTCTGCCTGTCACTGTTAGCTCCCTGGGCTGACTTGGTCAGACATCAGGATGATGTTGGGTGAGTGCTGAGCACCATCTGGATGTCAATCCCTAGTGGGGCTGTCACAGACTCTGCCATTGGGAGGGGTGGGGGATTATTTTAGTGTAGGGCTCGACGATCTTTGAAGTCTTTTCCAACCAGGTTGATTCTATGATTCCATGATTGATCAGCAGTGTCTGACAAAAATTGGTCCATGTTTTTCTTCCCTTAACATGCCATCAAGGCTGTGTCTACGAAGGAGAGAGGGGCAGGTTTTTTTCACCTCTGCTGTCCACTGTTTGAAAAACCTGTTTTCTTCTGTTTTCTTTGAGCAGATGGGCAAAAGAAGGTTCAAGAGGAATTTGACATAGACATGGACGCGCCAGAGACAGAGCGGGCGGCCGTGGCGATACAGTCCCAGTTCAGAAAATTCCAGAAGAAAAAAGCGGGGTCCCAGTCCTAGTAGCTACCTCACAGCATAAAACAAAGTAACCCTGAAATGATTTATCGAGAAAACCCGAAATAACACAGAGATGCATGTACAGAAACGATCAGTATTTAAAACCCCATTGGCAGATACCAAACCATGAGCTTGTGTGTGACTTCATCCCAGATGTTTCACGCCCATTATCCTCTGTAACTCACCATTTTACTTGATGTTGTAATAAAAAGTTAGGGTGAAGTAATTAAAGTGTCTGCCTTCATCTGTCTTTTCATATTAATCCAGCAACTGCAGCGTTACAAATGATCCCAGCCCAGATGCCTCCTTCCCTCTTCACGTAAAGCTCGGAGACAGAACAGCACCGTATGTTGCAGGGTTTTTGCTGAGGGCTGAGATAATGTGTCTCAGCCCTGCTCACCTCGTTTGGAGGATTCCAGCTGCCAGCCCAATGTGACAATAAAATTGCTTTCTTGTAATGAGCTGAAAGTAAAAAAAAGTTGCAGTCAGAGCTGGCATGAGGAGAAGAGGTGTAGGAAGCAGTGAGCGGTTTGGTTCTGTCTTGCAATTGTGTCAGTAAAGTGGTTTAAGTGGGGAAATTGTCCCTGTCCTTCCTCTTTGCATGATAATGTACAGAATTACCCAGCTTGGACCACATTGACTGTTATGCAAAGAAAATAATAAATCAGACAAAAAATGCAGAAACCTTTGGAAGTTTGGGGCTGATTTTTATTTCCAGAAGTAAAACCTGACCCTCTATACTCTATTTTTGTTGCAGATTTTCTCTCACTACATAATCAGTAACCATTTCTATGCCACCTCTCTCATACTATTTTCAATATTTGAGGAGTAAATCACAACAGACTCCCTGTCTCCATTTGCACTGTTCTGTATCCAACTGTGAACCCCTTAATCACTGAGTTAGCCCAGCTTTGGATTAACAGAAGGCAGCCACAACGATATGTCTCAAATTGGGAAGTATTTCTTTTTTCTCCATGTTGTAGAACAGTACCAGACCAATTTCAGATCAAGGAAAGATCTTGTTTGGCTTCAGACCTGAACAGGAATTGGCTGCTCACAGAGTGCATGAGGAAGGTTCAGAAAAGATTTAATCAAGTACCTTGTACTCAGAAGAAGGAGCTATTTGGATTGAGTAAGTGGGACATGCACTACAAAAATCTCATCCTCTTCTTGGCTTCAGCAGCAGACTTTGGGGTTCCAGTAGGCATCTTTGTCCTTAGGGAAATCAAAGACAGAAACACTTTCTGAGGGAGTGGTGTTTGCAGTGGATCTTCAAGAAGGCAGGATGAGTCTCACCTCCAGGCTGGCAGGGGCAGGTGTGGTGACAGCCTGTCTGCCTCTCCCTGAACAGCCTGGAGCTGGGACTCTCTAAGGTGTGAGACATTCAGGTGTCATTCCCAGCTCCACCCAGAGGGATTCTTTTCTTCTTCTCTCACCTTCCACAGGAGTATTCTGATCACCAGGGCAAGGGGCACATATGTCATCAGCCTCCTTATGTCAACAGAAAGCTATGACCAAGGGGTAGGAATAGAGGGAAAGGAAGGATCTCATGCTGGTGGCATTCCCATCCCATGGGAGCCAACCACAGCTGTGATGCTGGAGGGGTGTAGAGCTGTGGGACTGCAAAGGGAATGCCCTTGACCTTGTGAAAGTTAAGGCACTTATGGTGCTGGGCAACAATTTAGTGAGGAGCTCAGATCTTGTGGTGGGTACCAAGAGCTCTGTCACTATGCTGGTTAGGAGGAGTCCTCAGGGATGCTGAGCAGAGGAAGCCTTATGGATCCTGTGGATTATGTAGAAGGCATATGCAGAGATGACTTGTGAGGTGCTTAGTAAGCACATTTTAAGATTAGGTGGGAGTGGACAGGGCTTTTAAGAACTTAGTTTGGGGGCAAACATCTAGACACTGCTCAGCCCCTACCTGTGGCACCTCTTTCTGTGTCAGGTCTTGGCCCTACATGTGACTTACCCACACATCACCTGCAAAGTCAGCGTTCTCCAAGCTGCAGCTCAGTGCTGTCATTCTAGGAATGATTTTTTTTTATTTTTTTTTTATTTTTTGCAGCACCGTTTCTCTGCACTTAGGAATTTCCCCAATAAACCTCAAGTAACATGCTGCTGTGCTCCAAGTGTGGTTTGTGGAAGTCCCAGTTTCCCCACTTGCCTTTCACAGTGACTGCTCACCGTATAGTAATCCCCTTAGCATAATAATTTGAAAATTGTAATGGGTTTGGATTGTGTTGGTGCCATTTTGTTTAGATGAACATATATTTGTAATAAAAGACTGCATTTGTGTTCTGCATTATGTCATTTAAAACAGCATGAGCTCTGTAATGGCTACTTAATTGAATAAAAACTATGGGTAAGCACTGGGCTTTTATATTTGATCTGACATTCCTTGGACTTAAATTTCCTACACAACAGGAATAATCATATGGTTGGGACACTGAGAAAATGATTGCATTATTGAAACACAGCAACAGGGGCTGTTAGTCAATGAATGATGGCTCTTCCAGCAGCAGGGCTGTTCTTTAATGTGAAGTTCAGAGTGCACCTGACTGATACAGTCTTAATATAGAGTGAAACAGAATGGGGAAATAGTGAACTGGCATGAAATTTGGATTAATTGCGGCTGCCCCTGTCAGACAATTTCCTTTTGATGTAAATGTGTTTGCATCACAGATCCCGATCATGTTCCCAGGAGAGCAGAGCGTTCTTGCCCCTGAGTCTTGCTTTTCATTCATCCTTTGTCCATATGCAGGGTGGCAGTTGTTAATTTCCTTTCTTAATGCTAACTCATACTTTTGAAAGTCTGGGTTTTGTTGAGGTGAGGAAAAGAGTTTGATTCAACCAGGATGGGTGAAGGAGAACACTTAAACATTCCAGATACAACATGGGTCTCTTAACTTCCAGACACTCTGCAGTTCACTGGCACTGCCAAACTGTGAGTAACCAAGTCATGGAAAGCAAAATTTAAATGAGATGGATATCTGTGCTGATAACCCAACAGTTCCCATAGGTAACATGAAAGATTATTCAGAGCAGTAGATTTAGCAGGAAAACAGGGTTATCGCTCCCACCACAGACGCCCACACCCTCCCCAGACACATCCATACTGCTTCTGCTTCAAATTACTGTCAGATTATCCCAAAAGAGAATAACCTACAGTTGAGTGATCAGAACAATTGCCTGAGCCTTAGAAATCCTTAGTTCACATCGTTGCCTGGACCGTAAAATAACCTGGAGAAGTAAACACAAAGGAGACTATTAGAAGTGCAGAAATGCCACCAAAGAGCACAGGGATGCCCAAATGAGAAAACCAGCAAAGGATGTGAAGTCTATCAAGCTAAACAGAAAAGCAAGCCAAAGCCAACCTCTGGGGATGTGGGGAAATGGAGATATTATAGAAAGCAGAAATTAATCTTGGGTTGATGCCCAGAGCAGAGGCTCCCACAACAGGGCTCTTTTTTGCAACACATCAACCTGAGGTTGTTGAACAGAAATGTCAGTCAAAGAGATTTTGGAGCAACCTGGCAAAATCATAGAATCAAGCCATAGAATGATTTGGGTTGGAAGAGACCGCAAAGACCATCTAATTCCAATCTCCCTACTATGGGCAGGGACAGCTCCCACCAGCCCAGGCTGCTCCAAACCCCATCCAGCCTGGCCTGGAACACTCCCAGGGATGGAGCAGCCACAGCTGCTCTGGGCAACCTGTGCCAGTGCCTCAGCATCCTCACAGTAAAGAATTCCTTCTTAATATGTAATCTAAACCTGCCCTCCTTCAGCTTAAGGCCATAGCATCTGCTGGAGTGTGCAATGGAGGCAGATGGATGGAAGAGAATCCCCTGAGCAACACAGGGACACAGCTGGGACAGCAAAGCACTGCTGAAACTTCCTGAGCCATCCAAAGGGGATTTCTCTTCAGGGCTCATCCCTCAAAGGATCACAGGCTTTCCAGGGCAAAGCTGGCCACTGCCAGGAGGTGTTCATGCAGCCCAGTGAATCCTATCTGCCACCCAGTGCTTCCCAAAGCTGCAACACAGCCAAAGTGCATGTCCAGCCCTCAGTGTCAATGCTTTAGACCTGGCAGCTGACTGTGGAAACTTCCAAAATAAAGTCCCATAAGTCAGTTGAATCCTCACAGAAGGTTGTCTGGTTGCTTAACGTTTCCTTCAGCCCCACAAGCTGGCACAAGCCTTGCAGCAAGCAGAAACTTCCCAAGGTGTGTCCTAAAAGTCAGCAGTTTGTTGTGAGGCTACAAGAGATGCTCTGACTCCAGTGGCATCTCAGTGCCATAATCTGATGGCAGTGCAGAAATGCCTTTTTATTCATTACTGATGATTTACCACTCACTCCTTTTTGGACCTGACCTGAAATCTTTTTGATTGTGGTATCACAGGTCACTGGACAGGCCTGGATTGATCTGTTGTTTACTTGCAATACTAAGAGATATGACAAACCTCAGAATCTCGTTATGGTTTAACCTAAATTAAATATTCTGGGGCTTTCACCCAGAGAATGTTTGGGCACTGAACAGCTCCCCAGGGCAGTGGTCACAGCTCCAAGCCTGACAGAGCTCAAGAAGAGTTTGGATAACAGTCTCAGGCACATGGTGGGATTGTTGGGGTGTCCTGGGCAGGATCAGGAGTTGGACTTCAATGATACTCGTGAGTTTCTTCCAACTCAGGATATTCTGTGATTCATTTTTCAATGTTAGCTCTATACACATATTCAAAGCCTGATGGGATAAAAAGGAGTGTATACTATCCATACGATCAAATTAATATTGAGACATCTATATCCCTGCAAATATTTCCATGCAGATATCCTTCTCAATCTGAAATAAGCAGAATTCACTTGTGTTGGTTTATATGATCAAGACAACCTTCACAGTGAAAAGATCAAGGAACTTACCCTAAAAAGAGAAGCTATACCATTTCAAATCCATTAAAGCCTAGTCACGAATGGGTTATTTAGCTCAACTCCTAAATTGTGTTTTTTTTTTTTTTCTGTTTTTTTTTTTTAATCCCTAAACTCTCCCTGACAGATGGTCTCCTGCCTTTTAGTATCTCTAGTGATGGTAAGGCTAAAACCTTCCTTGGCAGCTTGTTCCGTGGCTGAACTTTTCTTAAAGCTATAAAGGTTGGTTTGTACTTAAAACCTAAATCCTCCCTCTTGCCATTTAGATTAATTTGTTCCAGATCAGCTATACCCAGTTTCCCTAATCTTATCTTGTAGGTCTCCTTTTCAACCCTTTTCATTATTTTTTTTCTTATTCTCCTTTGAACTCTGCCAATTTATCTGTGTGCCTGCACTGAACTGCAGCCATCCAAGAGAAATGTAACCAGTGCCAAGCACAGCAGCATAATTATCTCAGCTATTTCACACGTGATGATCCCCTTACCACAAATCTACAAGGCTTTTGGCATTTTTTGTGACAGCATTATTTTGTTGGCTTATAGTCAAAGCATCATTTCACATGAATATAGAATCGGTGTGGTCTCTCTGCTTAGTGAGGATTTTCCTCCTTTTTTTTTCTGCTTGGGACTACATTGGCTATAAAACATCTTTCTGAATTTATAGTCCCTCTGCAATACTGGGATGATACAGAAATACAGGTAAATGTCATTATCTGTAGCACTTTGTCCTTCAAATCAGGCAGGAATTGTAATTGGTTCCTT